GGGAACTCTAATCAGAACTCCTGAGTACTATAGTTGGAGTGCTAACTTAACATACCCGAATTTATGGTTGCAATATAAATTGTTGAGTCATCTAAATTGTTGAAGTCATTTAAATAAAAATGATATTGATTCTGTAAATTAGAAATAATAAATTTTGACATTGTCAAAAGTGCTTAAAGTTAAATTAGTATATTACTATCTGATTAATCAGCTGCATTACATCTCAAGAAATATATTGTAATATAGTTTGTAAAACTAGTGCTAAGCTGTTTTGCAGCAAGAACTTTAAATTTAAAATAGAAAAATTACAATTGTAACGTTATAACTTGTTTGAACATGACTACTAGTCAAGGAAGGAGACAGGCAAATAAAAAGGAGAAAAGCAGAGAGGGAATCTAATGAGGAATTAGGAAAGAAATAATAATTATAAAATGAGAAGATATATGTACGACAAATCAGCAACTGAATTGTATAGGGCATGTAAGAGTAAGTTTCGCAAATTACAAAAATAAATAAAAATACATTACAATATATACATTTGTATGTAATGTAATGTAGTAATACATATAAATATATGTAATATAATAATTTCTATAATATATTATTTATTTTTGTATGTATGTATTACATACAAATGTATGTAATGTAATGTAATGTAATGTAATACTTTCTATAATACATTATTGACTCTTACATGCCCTATACAATTCAGTTGTTGATTTATCATATTAAGAATCCTGTACTTTATATTAATTGTTTTTATATGTACGACAAAGAATCCATATCAATTTGTTTGTTCAATCCATGAGTTTGCCTCTTGATATGGACTATTTCAGAGATCAATCTCTTATTATAGCACAATTCTATGTCCAAAATTTTAACTTCCAGTCAAAATTATGGTTAAAATTGATCCGAAGATCGGAGATCACTGATGGAGATTCAATTTTTTTTCTGAATATCAGCGTGCTCATGGATTCTCGTCTTTTAACGTCTCTTAATCTGACCGGCATAACTTGCTTTGTATTCTAAACAAAAAATTGTATAAATCACGTCCTGATGTAATGTGAGATCTACAACGGTCTTTGCCTACTTTAATATATTTTTTTTAAGTATTGAGAATGGTAAAGGTTGGGTGGTGTCTTTAAATTAATGTGTGCGGCGATAGGTGTAAAACTTCTAGAAATAGATTTTATATAAGAAACCGTAAAAAATCTTTATTATTTAATGTTTATACATTGTTTGTTACATTGTTGTTGTCGCAGACTTGTTATTATAAAATTAGATTTTAATTTATTGCGAATTGTGGAGAAAATAACCGAAAAAGGATAGCTATTGTCTAACAGTAGAAAAATTATATTTTTGGAATCTTGATTTCAACAGTACGCAAATTTTTAAATACTTACTGCGCGGTGATTCGATTAATATCAGACTTGAAACTATTTGCAAATTTGCATATAAGTATTATTAAATCGAGATCTGTTTTGACCCCGAAAATAGGATTAGTTTTCTTATTTAATTTATTCTTGTCGATTTAATTTCCACTTATAACTCTTTAATATTCATATTTGTGTTACAGTATCTGGAAAAGTTTGATCTCGCTCCGGTATTCTCAGTTGAAGAGTTCGAACATTGGTTTCTACCGCAAGCTGGCATTATTAACAGTTTCGTTGTAGAGAAGGAAGGAAAAATCACTGATATGGTGAGTTATTATACATTACCAAGTTCTATTATGCATCATCAGACGCACAAGACCCTCAAGGCCGCGTATAGTTTCTACAATGTGTCTACCACAACACCGTGGCTCGAACTAATGATGGATGCCTTAATATCAGCGCGTGACGTAAGTTTATTTCCTGCTTCTATCGCATTTTTCAAATAAGAATCAAACGTAATGTGAGTTTTTCATTTGCAGTTGGGTTTTGATGTGTTTAATGCATTGGATCTCATGGACAACAAGGAGTTTTTAGAACCTCTCAAATTCGGGATTGGTGATGGCAATCTTCAATACTATTTATATAATTGGCGTTGCCCCAGCATGACACCAGGCAAAATCGGTCTTGTGCTCCAGTAGACTTCTAGTTAAGAAAAAAATTAATCGCTGTTTAGAAAAAAAGAGAGGACATGTTTTGCATGTGTGATTTCGCACAAGAGATTAAAAAATAATGGTTAATAAGTACGAACAAACAGCGAATATGTAGCAACGCAATAAAAACAGCGTTGTTAATCTTAATCTTTCTTACCAATAGGAATAATTGCGGTGGTCAGAAGGAATCTGAGATTTTGTGTAGAAATGAGATTCGAATGAATTTCCAATTCCTCAAAAATCGTTCTTGATTTCTTCATTGGCGCCTTTAAAGACTCTAGATTGAATTATATACGATCGGGACTATAATAAAAATTGTGCAGCATTGTACAGCGCACGTGTATATATACGTATCTGCGTAACTGAAGCAAATGTAGATAAGCATTATGCAATTAATAGCAATTATGCGGGAAGCCATCCCGCATCACCCGAGAATTTTCGATTTTCAATCGTGTAAGCCTTTAGACGCCAGATAACTATATCCATTTTTTTTCCTTTACACCTCGGCTAATTAGACGACGTCTACCGAAGTATGAGACGATAAATAAGTTAAAAATAAAATAACATTTATTGAAATTAATTGATTTTTACTTTTTCTTGCTATTTCTAATTTGTATTTATCCTTATTAATTTCATACCCGTCCATATTCACACAAATAAATAAACTATTTGTATTATAGCGTTTATTGCATTATTAATTACTAATAACCTATATAACGTCTATATAGAAGTTATATAATCAAAGATTCGCTTCTAGTTTTAATTAGATAGACGTTTTAATTAGATATACGGGATACTTGTAAAAAAAAAACCAGTCTCAAATAATATTAAAAAGAGAAATCTCCGATTTCGATGTATGTTCTTTTATTTTTTCTTTTAACCTATTTTGAAAAATAATAACATTGATAAAAAGAAAAAATTTACATCTGTACAATGATATCGATTTCAACTACAGTGGGTTTCAATCGATCCGAGGTAGGACCAGCCCTTGGGGTCGGCGACCGACCGGGGCGCCAGGGTATGGAGACTCTAGAGTGTGGGAACGCCAGGACATGAGAGGAGGGGAGCGTCGTTCAACGAATGAAAAAAATTCGATTCAAATATTCCGATCTGGAGCAATTTTTGAATAGCAATTTTTTTCCCTCACTGTGCACCGATGCGGTAATAGGAGATGTGGATTTTTGCGTTTATGTTTTACGCTGTTTACTCGCTGTACTGTCAAATGAACAAACGCGATAAAAAAGCCCCAAGGCGGGAGGGTCTCTTTTAAGGCCTTAGCACATAATAAAACTTAAGACAAGAAATCAACAGTCGGATTCGTTACTGTTTATGTTATGATTCTATAGTTTCTACTGTGATTGGTCAATTCACTTACTACTTAAGTCTTACGTCTTAAATTTTTCTATGTGCCAAGGTCTTTAGGTCTCTTGCCCGGAGCGCCATAATTCTTCGGCCAGATTCTAATCCGAGGTTAATTAATGATAAGATGAAAATATTCAAGGACTCCTAATATAACAATAATCAATACAAGTCGAAAGGGCGAAGTAAGAGTCAAAAATAAAATTACATTTAAAATAATATTAAAATGTCAACATATTTAATTCTAAATTTAAAATACAAAATATAATTTACAAAAATTACTTAAAATAAACTAAAAACATGATGACGTTACGTAACAAGTTTCGACTCTTAGATTGAGTCCTCTTCAGACTTCAAATTGTCTTCTTCATGGATAAAATTATTGTAAATAGCCAAATATGACATTGTTATTGAAAAATTTATAATTCGCATGTTAACAAAATTTCTGTAAAATTAATGTAACGATATACAATATGGTATGTGAATGTTGAAGTTTTTAAGGAAACACTTACTAAAACAATAGTAACAATAAATTATAAAGTAAATATAAAATATGTCCATTTGTTAAAGTATGGTGAATATGAATAACAGTATGTGTTGAATTGTAATATAAAATATCAACAATGTAACGACAATGCGTTGCAAATATGAACATATTTGGCTATTTACAATAATTTTATTCATGAAGAAGACAATTTGAAGTCTGAAGAGGACTCAATCTAAGATCTTTTGTTTTTTAAATTTAGAATTAAATATGTTGACATTTTAATATTATATTAAATGTAATTTTATTTTTTACTCTTCCGCCCTTTCGATTTGTATTGATTATTAATTAATGATGTCATGCTCTGCTTTTTTTTTTTTTTTTGATTGGATGAATTTATAGCACTTTTGGATTAAATTTCATTCAAACCGATCACAATGCGCTGTTAGAGATGATGAAAGAAACAGTTTTTATTTCAAGGTAAAAAAGAGAGTCAGAAACTTGATACACATTTCGATTTATGATTATGTTACAAGCTCGACAGATCAAATCAATGCAGTCCATAAAATAATAATAATATTTGTATATTTACATATGAATATTATTGTAAATGCATTAATCTTTGACTGAAAACGTTTCTTTCTCATTTGTGTTTATGTATAAAAATTGCACGGTGCTCCGAAAGCAAAAAATTTTACTTTGCAGTAAAGTTTACATGGATAGGCGCAGAATATGTTACATAATACCTATAAATTTTCTATTTGCATGGTAATAAAAAATACTTAATAAAAAATTGATTTCCCTCCGTATGTTATATCTGTGCCTTCAAGGCACTAAGGTTGCGCAACACAATATCCTTTCTATCATTATCACGAACATCGTGAGTAAACCATCGCATTACAGCCTAGCGTATGGCCGACGCGCAAGGTCTTTTTGAAGATAACAGAGAAAACCTGTGATGTACCCGTAGCGATTAACCGGTTAAAATTTACATTTCGCTTTTAGATAGGGGGGCGACGTCCGAGAAACGACGGTCCTTCGGTGTTTGTCGACCCGTCGTATAAACGATCGATCAATGACGTTGAGTAGACAGGAGGACATAGATGGTATTCTACCTTGAGCGAACATTTATACATACAAATTGTTGATTGAACGATATCGCTGACAATCGGCAGATATGGGCCGAGCATAACTATTACTTGTTTACAGCCGCTTTTTTTCCAGTAGCGCGAAATTTGCATCTGAATATATTTAAATTTCTAGTAAAACTAACTGACGTGAACGTGTCGGCCCTTAGTTAATGCAACGGGGCTAAACGACAGTCAGAAACTGAGTCAGGGATACAATAAATAGGGGCTTTCTGCGGACGTGATGTGGTTTTCTTACAAGAAAGCCAATAATAATAATGTGTATATATCGAATTTAAAAAATCTTAATTTCAAAAAATTGTTCATTGATCCAAAAAAATATTTTTTTAAATTAAAAACTTTTTTTTTTCAGTGTATGATCTAACAAAATTGTCATCTTCGTTAACTCTTTTATCTTAAACATTAATATTGATAAAAAATATAAAATTTAAATATGTAACGTTTTATATGTACAAATATTTGTGAGAGAAATAACAGTGTATTGATCGAACATTCACAATTTTTATATGTATTTTACTTTTATTTACAATTTTTCAATATTGCAAATATTAAACGGTGTTTGTACGACGCAATGTAATCAACGTCATGTGTATATATATAATCACGTATTCCATTAAAATGTCTGCAATAGGTAGATGAGACTGTTTCTGATGAATGAGATGCTACATTTTATATTTATAGCATGTCAAATGCTATATATGACAGTAAATAATTGCAAAAGGTATGGATATGTCTCAACGTATATCATTCATTGAGAATTTATACTTTTTTCACTGTCAATACTTTTACAGTAAAATATTTTTTGCGACTGCAAGAATCTCGAAGATATTTCTTTAGCAAGAGCGTATACCCAGACGAAGGGCTGCTCGATTCAAAGAAATGTCTCCTTGTTTGATTAAAGAAAAAATTTCTTTAATTTTTATAACAAAGAAACATCTCTTGAATCGAGAAAATTTTTTATCTGGCTGAGGTGGCCGTTTCATCATAATCACTTGTTAAATCTGATCGCATTAAAGGATGGGTAAGTTCTTTATCTTGGAAATAAAGAGCAAGAATGTTTCTCTCGCGAGAGAATTCCTCGTACATTACATCATCCAGAAAATTCCCGACTAGACGCTCGTATTGATCTCAGAGGTTTGTGTCAACATATGGTAATGCCGACAGATACTCATCAAGCGCAATACAGTTATTCGCTTACGTGTGCCTTTTGTCCTACGGCAAAATGAGCAATAAAAGGGAAAAAAAATGAGGGAAGGGATATGTGCAAAAAGCAGGAAACGACGAATCATCGAATAATACCCGGAGCCAGATAACACTGTGAGGCGTGGACGAGCAGGAGTAGGTGGGGAAGGCACGAAAGACACGATGTGAAATAAATACTGGTCTGAAATCGAGCGGAATTCAGTCGCATACTTAGTGTACTAACAACGCAACGGTCTTGAGATCTCCCTGTGTGAAAGGAACCCTCTTCTCGCGCGCCCAATCAAATTATTAGTGACGCTTCAATACATCACATAATTCCCGAGAACGTCAATTTATAATTCACTAACGAGAGAAACTTTGTATTCCTGCTTCAAATTGGATCGAACTGTCACGATGTTACTTCGATACTTTCTGATCTTTGCCTTCGCGTCTGTCGCAGCCGCTACTTTTTTCGGGTATTTCACTTGCAGGACATTATATATATTTTTTAACTTCTTGAAAGTTCGTTTAAAAGCAGTTTAACTTTTAATTTTTTAAAAACTTATCTCAACCTTATTGCGTATATCTAGTACATATTGTATATAATTGGATATATTTTAGTTTTATCTGCAGTTTTCAAGCAATTTGTCGTCCTTCGCTTTGGTATCAAATAGAATCGGGAGACACTTAAAAATTTGTAAAAGAAGTTCGTGTCTATAGTAGATATCAAAGAAGGACGACAAATTGCTTGAAAATTAAAATACGTTTGTTTTTTAAATTTATTTGTATTACTCTAAATCTATTTTTAAATAGACTTTGCCACATCTACTTAGGCTAAATATATTGTTGCATAGTTATTAGTATCGAGGATTGCTAATCCAATTTTAGAGACCCTACTATAAACGCAAAGCATCCGAGAAGATCCGGTAGACTGTAAATATCTTATCTAATGGGTGTTACTGTCCACGCTTACGAATCACCTCGTGTTTCTGTCCAGCTTAAGCACAACGACCCTTCAGGCAAACAACCTGCGACAGTTCGATGTTTATTGGAACGTGCCCAGCTTTATGTGTAAACAATACAACGTGATATTTAATAATCTCGAGAATTACGGAATTCATCAAAATAAAATGGATGAATTTCGCGGTGAAAAAATTGCAATCCTTTATGATCCCGGAATGTTTCCGGCGTTATTATCCGATAAATCTGGTGGTAAGTTAAAACTGTTAAATCTGTATTGTATCATTAAATGAAATTATTCTAAAGTATCCAGCAAACATAACTGCGTTAGTCATTTGGCGATGTACATATGATTTCAGAAGCAATTTTTGACAATGAAAGAAAATCTCGGTATAACTATTATATTATATTATAAATCAGCGATTTATTCCAGTGCAGGTTTTGGAGCGCGTATAATATCTCTTACATGAAAGTCTCAAAATCATCTTCCAGATCTTATTCATTCGATCGTTTGCTCTTCTTCCAAAAGTCTTCTTCACACAAAATATTATTCCGCGTATTTCTATTGCTAACCGCTATTATACAATAATTATGTAAAATTTTAAAATTTTTTAATAAATTCCTCGGAAAGAAATTTGTTATTGTAAATGTTTGAAAGTCGAATTAACGTACGCTATGATATACATATTATGAAATCACGAAATACTTTTATGCTGCTCTATTTAAATATCCGAGTGTAGATAGTCGATAGACAAAAGAAGCTAATGAGTTTAAAAGACCTAGATCTATTGTTGCGTTACTACAAACGAAAAACGTATGTACTGGCAATCTGTGTGTATATACACTCACATGTGTACAGCCAAATGTGCGCTGTGGTGCATTTGCGTGTATATTCCGGTTTTCCGGAGTCGTGGCGGTATAACCGCTACAGTTATAATAATTTCACTCAATAATTTAATTCATTACATGTTACGTGACTATTATTATATTGCAGTTATACTGCCGCATAGGATTATTGATAGTTGCGGTGTTTGCAGAATATCTACAAAAGGAAATTGTTTAAATAGTTGTAATAATTTGTTAGATATCTATTTATAAGCTTAAGCGAATGTATTTTTAAAAAATTTAAAATATTTGTTTAATTAATCGACTTTTTTGCATATCTGTTATAGATATACACAAAAACAAAATTATACACAATACAATTGAGTATAATTTTGTTTTATCAGTTTTCAAGCAATTTGTCATCCTTCCTTGGTATCTGCCAGATATGAAAATATTTCCTTTAGTGGTACAAATATTTGAAGGTATAAATTAGTTCGGTCCGTTTTCCAAAAGATGATCGCCTCTAAAGACGGGTCATTTTTTAGAGATGGAATTCGAAAATTGCCTGAGAGATGGGAAAAGTAATAGCCAGCGATGGACAATACTTTAATTAATCTGTTCATTTATTTTGTTTTGAAATAAATGCATTTTTGAACACAAAAAACGGGCCGAACTAATTTGAACACCTAATATTAATATTAATCCCTTGACTTTTTGAATATTTTCAGAATTGTTATGTCTTTCGATTACCGATTTAATCACTCCTTGTATTTTCATTAGGAACTATAAAAATAAGAAACGGTGGTGTTCCTCAAGAGGGTGATCTGAAGAAACACCTCGAGATATTCCAGAAGCACTTGATTAAACAAATCCCAGACGGGTCGTTTAGTGGCATTGGCGTGATAGACTTTGAGAGCTGGCGGCCGATCTTCCGACAAAATTGGGCCTCTCTCGAGCCTTACAAAACTCTGTCTGTAAGACTGGAACGTAAGAGACATCCTTTTTGGAGCGACAGCGCCGTGAAAAAAGAAGCAAAGCGTCGCTTTGAAAAATACGCCAGAATATTCATGGAGGAGACTCTGAACATGGCAAAAAAGCTACGCCCTAAAGCCAAATGGGGTTATTACGGCTATCCTCATTGCTTTAATCAAACTCCTGGTCAGCCTACTGCACATTGCAATCGTCAGGCTATGGTAGAGAACGACGAGTGAGTAATACATATGTATACATGTAACACCGACGGGAATCAATAATTCAACATCCGCTAACGTGCATATAATTTAATAGCATATATGTAAACGCACCATTACGTTCAATTTTACACCGAATACACTAATCTCGAAATAATCTCGCGTTCCTCACAAATTGACATCAGAGTTGTGTTATCGCTTCATCGCCCGTGCCCGCGCCACACAGGTGAAAAAATGTACATTCTGCCTCACAGCGTGTAGTACACCATATCTACATAAAAGTTAAATTCATTAGAATTGAAAAAAAAAAACAGTGTACTATTTTAAAATACATTTAATGGCCTGTCACATTTTTGTCACTGCTTAATATGTCTCAATTTATAAACGACTACCAAATTTTGAGATTATAATAATTACATAATAAATAAATATCAATAATACAATAATTATCATTAATTGAAAGTATTAATAATTTAATCTTCTCATTTGGAATTATTATATCAATATTATCGAGGATATAATTAATTTTCGTCTTTAGCACTTTTGCATTAAATAATGTGTACATAATGCGTATTATATCTGAATATGTAAATCTAAAGTGGTATAATTTACTGTTTTTAAATTAATTAAAAGATTATTATAATGTTTTGACATTTTTTGGTATTACAATTTTTGTCTTAAATTATTTTAGAAATTTACCTTTACAAGCATTATTATGGTCTTTACGCTGTGTATTTGTGAAGCATATACTATCAAATCCAAATCTAGTAAATATATAAGATCGCTTTTTTTTTTCAGTTACGTTAGAAAACTAATCATAATGACCCGACATTGTTATTCTAATTAATAAATAACAATAGAGATTGAATTAGACAATAATGAAATAAGGCCATTAAATGTTAATAATTAAACAGATCATTGCACATAAAAATTTTTTTTAAATTATTTTTTTATGTACAAACTTCTTGAAAATATGGTGTATACGGTATTATGGAACTGACTGTACGTATAATACGTAATATTTAATTCAGCAATTGATATACAATGATTGCGGACGATTGCGGATCACGTATAAAGATTACATACGATGTTTATACCGAAATAGGTCAATGTCGAGGACATCAGAGTGTTAAAAAGCAACCTGCAATTTCGTTACCAGCGCTTTATCTAATCACGCGAAACGATAAAAAAGCAACGTCGAAGGTAATCACGAGCAATAATTTCCGTAGAATGTCTTGGCTCTTCACACTCGAGAACGTACACTTGCCTTCCGTATACTTGAGACAAGAGATCAGAGGGGAAGATCGGATGGGCTTCGTGAAGGGTAGAGTGTCCGAGGCGCTTCGTATGGCAGGCAAAATTCCGCGCAAACAACTAGTCCTTCCCTATTGCTGGTTCAAGTATCAGGATAACAGAGATCACTTTTTAAGTGAGGTAAGTCCTTTCGAACTCTTTGATATGTTTGCATCAGTCCCTGGTGTCAAAAAGATTTATCGAGAATTTGTCTACACAGAAAGACACGGAGAACACGTTCAACACGATCGCCAACCTCGGCGCTAACGGTTTGATTATTTGGGGTAGTTCTGAAGATACAAATACGGAACAAAAATGCAAGGACCTGTTACAGTACGTGACAAAGATTCTGGGACCGGCGATAAAGCGAATCAATCAATAGTTTTAAGCGGCGAAATAACGCATAGTTTTAATGAAATTGCACTGTTTTCAGTACAAATCCTTTTCTTTTTTTTGCTTATTTAGTCAATAATTTTTAATACATATAGTAATTTCTCAATCTTTTTCTATACACGATAGGTTGTTCGTGTGTGCCGGATTAATTTTTATTACTTTTATAAATATATACAAAAATTATTAAGTTATTCTTGCATATATTTTGACCGTATACGGTCAAATAAATTTGCTCCGACATTTTTTAATTGATATTCGCAGGTCCGGTATATTTTAAATAAATGTGTTTTTTATTGAAATCAATTAAACAATTCTTTTTTTTTGGTAAATATTTGAAGAATACAATTATGTAAGTTTGTGAAAAACATTTATTATAAACAATTTTAGAGGTAATATTTTTCGCAAAGTAATTAAATTATTTACAGATTTTTAATATGTCATAGATTTTAATTCAACAAGTGTCATTCAGCATATTATTAAGATCCAAGATGCAATGAGCATCAAAAATTGTTGGATCGTTAGTCAATTTAATTCGTAATAGTACCGCGGTAGTTTATTAGAGTTTGCGTTGTAAGTCTGAAAAAAATTTCGGCGCGCAATTAAAAAATTGACACACGTAGTACATATATAAATTCACACGAAATTATATTAGACGCATCCAAGATCCAGCTTGACCGTAAATGGCTTATTCTCATCTAGTTATAAATAATTTCTCACAACTTTTTAGCTGAAAAAAGAATGTCCCGATTTACTGGACCCGCGAATACGGATTAAGATTAATATCTTTAGAATGTACTTGTAAAGTTGCGTATTAAAAAAAAAGAAAGGATAGAGACTATTGTTTATAGCCAGTTACTTCTAGTATAAGAAAAGTAATACACAGAACACGAATGATCTAATCGTGTGAATCGAGGGTTGACTTTAGTTTATGCACAATTCAATTTGAAAGTGGGTAACCTTTATAGGCTACTTAGATCTGGCAAGATGTAACATTCGTCAATTTCAGGGTGAATTTAAAGAAGCATAGTGCAAATGTCTAATAAGCTTCGAGGAGCCATAAATGGCTGTCGGAGGGCTAAGATAATGAGAGAGAGAGAGAGAGAGAGAGAGACTGCGGTAGGGAGGGGGAGGCAGCTTCCAGTTGACTGGGTCCGAATTTTTGCGGATCAGCGGCAGTGATCTCGTTAACGTTGGCGGAGGCGCGCGTCGCGGCGTCCGGCTCGCCATCCCTGAATCCTCCTCTTTGTCACCTTCGCACCGCGCGCATCGCCCCGAAGCCGGCAATCGCGTTCGCGGCTCGGCCTCTCTCGGCTACGATCGATGAGCGCGCAATGTTGGCGTTCGACAAGTTTTACTGGTTCGCGATGTAACGCCTCGGGCGATATGCTTTTTACAGTACGCGCGACGCGTTTTGTAGAGAGGTGGTAGAGAGCCGGAGAGAGATCTCTTTCCCTTACGCTCACTTGGTTGATCTCTCTTCCCCTCCTCGCACCGTCGGTCCCGTCGTCCTTTCTCTCTCCGCTTTGTCGCACCTGTGGAGAACGTCGATGCGGAGGCGCGAGACCGACGAAGAAGGAGAACGGAACGGGAACGCGGCACGGAACGGGAACCGAACGCGTACCGCGAGTAGAAGGAGGAGCTGAAGGAGAGAACCCGGTGGTGGAGGTGGAGGAAGAAGAAGAAGAGAAGGAGGCGGCGGGCAAGGGGCGGAGGAGGTGGAGAACGAAACACGAGAGATCGGCAGCACAGTTTCGTGTTCAGCTTAGCTCGGTTCGGCTCTCTCGACTTTATATAGTATCGAAAACCACCAAGTACTCGAAAAAGGTCTCCTCGTATTCCCCTCGGGAACGGTTCCGCGCGCTCACCGAGCCGAGAGAGTCCGGTGGTTCTGCGATTTCTCTCCTTCTCTCTCTCTCTCTCTCTCTCTCTCTCTCTCTCTCTCTCTCTCTCTCTCTCTC